TATTTCATGTTGATTAATAATTATTTTGAGATCATTGTTTATAATTTTCTTAAGGGAGAACAACCATGTCGAAAGACACATCCCGTGGTCATGGAAAAGATGTTAGTCTGTTTGAGAAGGGTCAAATCAGTGGCATGCAGAAACTACTAAAATTGGGTAGTGGGGACCCATCATCTTCAAGGAAGAAATGTGGCCGGAAAAAAATCCTGAATGATCGTGATCGGTGATCATTTAAATGTGTGGTGAGATCAAATCGAAGAAAAACAACAGTAGAACTCAGGGCTATGTTTAATACTGAAAGTAAGAGCATTTCCACACACACAATGCAAAGGGAACTCAAGGGATTGGGACTGAACAGCTGTGTAGCCGTAAGAAAACCACTAATCAGTGAGGCTAACCAGAAAAAAAAGGCTTCAATTTGCTAGAGAGCATAAAGATTGGACTGTGGAGCAATGGAAGAAGGTCATGTGGTCTGATGAGTCCAGATTTACCCTGTTGCAGAGTGATGGGTGAATCAGGGTAAGAAGAGAGGCAGGTGAAGTGATGCACCCACCATGCCTAGTGCCTACTGTACAAGCCTGTGGGGGCGGTGTTATGATCTGGGGTTGCTGCAGTTGGTTAGGTCTAGGTTCAGCAACAGTTTGTGCTCAAAAAATGAGGTCAACTGACTACCTGAATATACTGAATGACCAGGTTATTCCATCAATGGACTTTTTCTTCCCTGATGGCACAGGCATATTCCAAGATGACAATGCCAGGATTCATCAGGCTCAAATTGTGAAAGACTGGTTCAGGGAGCATGACACATCGTTTTCACACATGGAATGGCCACCACAGAGTCCAGACCTCAACCCCATTGAGAATCTTTGGGATGTGCTAGAGAGGGCTTTGCGCAGCGGTCAGACTCTACCATCATCGATGCAAGATCTTGGTGAAAAATTGATGCAATACTGGATGGAAGTAAATCTTTTGACATTGCAGAAGCTTATCGAAACAATGCCACAGCGAATGCGTGCCATAATCAAAGCTAAAGGTGGTCCAACAAAGTATTAGATTGAATGACCTTTTTTTTTTTGGTGGCGACTTTTTTTTGGGCCAGGCATATATATATATATACATATATATATACATACATACACGATGTTATAATCTGGCTCATAACAAGAAGGGAGTTACATCATGTATGAGAAAATCAAATGTAGATTTATTTAAGTTAAATTAAAACTTAGATTCATGAATAACTGCAGTAATGTGGTGTTGCATACAGGCAGTTAACATATAGAAAGCTGAAGTCCGGGTTTCTTTTATAGCAGCCTTCAAGGCATTTGCATTGTTTGTTTTAGAGTGTCTCACCAATACCACTTCGATGCAGTTAATTGTGCAAAAGGTTGACAAATTAAAATTTCAGTGGATAGAAATTAACATACTTTTATAGGCCTGACATTTCTTCTTAAAATATAATTTTTATTGATGTTATTCTAATGTTTTAAGTCAAACTTTTAATCTTCGTAAGTCGCTATTTTCATTTAATTACAAAAATATGCTTTGAATGTTATATCTTATATGTTTTGAGTTGTTTATCTTTGTGAATAAATATCTTTTTTATTTACATACATGTTTGTTTGTTTGTTTGTTTGTTTTTATAATGCTTTAACTGCATAACACATACTTTGCGTTTGTATGCACGTTAGACGGAAACATCTGTGCGCAACTGATTGCAAAAAATCCAGGAATGAGCTAGCAGTCTTTATGTTGGTCATGGGACATTTGGCAAAATGTGGTATTACCAAGAAGTCTTTAGGCTATAGCTACAGATCTCAGACAGAACTCAGCTAAGCAGATGCAAATACCTCAATACAATCTATGTTTGGCCATTAAATAATGTATGTGAATGTAATGTAATTTAATGTACTATTCTGCATCTATTTCACACTAATACCAAAAAAAAAAAAAAAAATGCATTCCTGCCTCCAACAGTTTTCAAGCATTTTCTCTAAAAAGACTTAAAACTACCTTAGTAAAACATCTGCCCTTTATTTGACCTGGCAGCTAATTCATTTCAATTCAGTTTAGTGTATTTCTATAGCGCCAATTCACAACACGTCACCTCAACGCAATTTACAATTTTCTTCCAGTTTTCCATCTAAGGAAAACAGTTGACTGCATCGACTCATTGACTCGAAGGCAGTCCCTCACACTAAACATGCTTCAAGCGACAGTGAAGAGAAAAACTCCCTTTCAACAGGAAGAAACCTCCAGCAGAACCAGACTCAGTGTGAGCAGCCATGTGCCTGTGCCGACTGGGGTTCAAGGAGACAGAAACAGACATACAGTAAGAACAGAGATACAAAAGGCAACTGCAAACCAGCTCCACAGGCGGCCCCATCCAGGAAACACACAGCCAGGCAGACCATCTCTGAGCCAGCTCCCATGCAGCGACGTTAAGAAGCGCTTTTTGAGTTGATTGGGTGAAGCGAGACATAGTTTGACCCGTCTACCAAAGTTTTGGTTCAAGCTAATCAAGGTAACAATTGAAAACTCAACAACAACTCATACTTAAAACACTTTTCCTTTTTCCTCTTTTAAACATGAGTTCGTAGATTCTAAAAAAAAAAAAAAAAAAAAAAGATTTTGTAGGACCAGCTTCTTGTGCATCCTCCTGCACCACCAATTTACTTTGGTTAGTCTGTGAGCTCAGAACCTCTTGCTTTTATCGCCGCTGTATGCTCCACCTTAAACTGCAATACTAAAACGTGGATTGCATAAATGTCATGAGAATTTAGCTTGCCAGCAAAGTTATTGTGTTTTGAAGCAAATTTAAAGTACATGCTTCTACTTTTTGAAGTTTTAAAGGCAGAATCACATAGTTTACAGTGATATGGGAAAAAACCCCAACAAAACTATCGCTGTTTTGTTGATGTGTTCATTGCTTTCATCAGGTAATATATATTTAGACCAAGTAATTAATGAAAACAAGAGTGTTTGTGTGTGTGTGTAAACACAGTGGAGGAAATCTGCAAGAGTTTTTCTTACCAGTTATACAATACTCCATTTGATTTGCTGATGTTTTTCAAATAGAACATTATTCTAATTTTATCCTGTTCTGCAGTCAATTTTAAAATGTAAAATGTTTTTTATCTGTGATTATATTAATAAATTCATTAATTTCCTTAAATTAAATTAAAGCAATTCAAATAGTCTATTTGGGTTGAAATGCATGTCCTTTTAACTAATTTAGAGAACAGAGTTTAAAGGAGGAGCAAATGTCCCATGTTAAACTAATGCTTTGACAGTGAAAAATTAAGTGTAATATAGATTGAACCAGGATAACAGATGGAAATTCAGTGATTTTCTGTATATCTAACATTGTTAACACTAAGTGTGCTACAGAAAGCTAAATACTGTGTTTGTCTGTTAAGAGCATGAGTAAGATGAGTGGGAATAATACAGAGCGAGTGTTGTGTGGGTGTGTGGAAGAGTTACGTCATCAG